ATGCAGCCCAACCATGCCTCACCCACAAATGCAGATACCGATTTTATTTTTTTTTTTCAAAAAAGTCACCAGATGGAAATTTGGGACATCCCAACCTGAATTAAAGTGGAAAAATTAAAGGATAATGCAAAGATAAATGGATAAAGAGAGAAGAAAAAGAAAAAATTAAAGTAGAAAAATTTTGTAAGGAGAACAAAAGAATGAGAAAGAGAAGAAAAAGATTAGAAGAGAGAAAGTGACGTTGAGAGAAGTGGGAGAAGAGGTAAGAAAAAAAAAGTGAGTGACGGTGGGGGAAGTGAGAGAAGTGGGAGAAGACAGGAGAAAAAAAAAAGAGAGAAAATATATATGTGGTAGCGTGTAAGTAGGGAAATTAATAAATACCTTACTTACCTTAGTGGGCCAGGTCGGGCCGAGGCAGATCGGGCGGGGCGATATCTATGCCCCAGACCTGGCCCCTGTACGCAACGGGGCGGACCCGCCCTGACCCGTTTCGGTAACGGGGCGGGTCCAATCTACCCCAATTCTTACAGGTCGGGCCAGGTCGGACCGGGATCCGGGTCAAATTGTCATCCCTACCGTGGATACTCTGTCAATTTTGATTGATACGGCCCCATTTCAATATAAGCTCGGTTAATTTCATCATGGTGATTAATAGGATATCGCGCGCCACATAAGAACACATAATCTAGGATCTTGTTCAAGAGAAGTATCATCAAATTTAATTCTTGGAGATTTAGAAGCGGGTACGGGTAATCGGTATCCGGTATCATCAATAATACCGGCCGGTACGGTACGGTATTTAAAATATTGGGCTTAACTTTTAACTTTTAAGTCTCCTAATTGGGCTTTGATGTATATTGTATTTGTTACTGGAGCTAATTTTAAGTTTGGTGAACTTGGGCTCCCCGGCTAAAGTATAAAAATTTAGTACATTGGTTGTCTTTATTATACCCACCTCGGCTATAGCCCGGGTATCCTTGGTTGTAAACTTGTCCCTACTTGTAATTGAATGTTCATCAAAATTTAATCGAAGTTGAGGGTGTGTTTGTAATTTGTATATGAAATATCTCAATATTTCATCAAAATTTAATCGCAAAATCTAATTCAACTTTAACTCACCTCACTATCCTCAATATTATCAATATAATTAAATAATATCAATCAATCATTCTTATACATTACATCAATCTTAATTTACTATATATTCATCCACTCACATAATTTTAACTAACTCTCACTTCATATCATCTCTTTCCCACTTTTACATCAAATCAAGTTTAATTATTTTATTTTAAATATTATTTTAATATAAAATCAAAGTCCCACTAACAATTAACCATACCATTTTTTTAAATTAACTCTGATTAACCAGAAAAACTCATTTTAAGCAGATATATTTGTATACAAACACGCTCTGAGTCTCAAAACTTGTACAATGTACTCAATTGAGTTTCGAACCTAAAATACGACAAAATTTTTCATTGGTTGCTTTTTGTGTAAGAATTTTCAAAAACCTATTCCACATTTGTTAGGATGTTTTTAGCAATTTCATGTGTACGATAGTTACGTAAGTTTGGATCTGTCCTTGAATCATATTGTGGAAAAAAGGTAATTGTGAGCAGTGCCGGCTCCAGTGGGGAGGCAGAGAGGCTCTTGCCTAGGGCCTCAATTTATTTGAGGCCACATTTTTTTTTTTGTTGGTTAATATTATGCATTTGTGTTGGGTTTGATCCATTTAAATAAATGAAGTGACCTAATTAATGAATGAGTAATGACTAAATATTGACTTAGCCAATTACACAAGTAAAGATGTTAATTAATAAAGAGTTAAGGGCTAATGACTAAATATGGACTTGGTCCACTACACAAATGAATAAGCTAATTAATAAAAAGGCTAATGGTTAAATATGTAATTCGTTTGTGAATTTGAAAACCTTCATTTGTTTTCTTATGATGTTTGGTATGAACAATTTTTATTAGAATAATTAGTTTCAGTGATATTATTTTTTATTTTTTATCTTAATGTCCTCGTGACTGCTTCAATGTAATTTATTAAATATCTCTCTAAACTCCAGAGATAATTTATCATTTTCAAGATATATTTCAGGATTGATGAAAAACAAGAAAAATCATTTCTTTTTCAATTATTTATTTATTTAGCTTGTCTTGTTGAATTAGCTGTTTTTTTCTTCTTTGCTTACCACACAAATTCAAATTGGGAACTTCGAAAAAAAAAAAAAAATTGTCTAGGGCCTCCAAATTTCTGGAGACGGCCCTGATTGTGAGTATTCTTGATGCTAATTATCTTCCTTCTTTAAGATAAAGGCATATTTATCAGCCAAAGAAAAAGTCAAAATAAAATCTATATGTGGTTTTAGCACATTTTAAACATGCAGTTGAAAGGGAAGTCAAGGGTTTGTAACTTTGTATACATGATGTTGGAATACTGTGATCCAAATTCATTCTAAGACTAAATTTTGCTTTCCGCTTTTCAATGAATTTACGTCATAACTATATTTTTTCGTACAAAAATTAAAAACTACTCTTTCCAATTTCATATGTAGCTTAGTCAATTCTAAAAAATGAAACTTAAATATGGATTAAAATATGCAAATGACTGATAATTTTGTTCTTCCGCAAAATAAAGACAGACGATAATTTGTAAGAGACTTTTCTGAATAATCAATCAGAATTTTTGTCCAATAACTTGATTGGTATCAGTTTTATCCATTAACTTTTTAAAGTTTAATCTTAGTACTGTAACTTTTAATGTTATGACCATTTGTATACAAAATAAAGTCTTTCAAACTTTATAGTAAAACATCAATCCATTCCACCCTATTACAACCCATTATTGTAGTGTGAAATAAAAGACAATAAATGTAAGGTTCAATGCACTGAATAATAACCATCCATCCAATGGAATTTGGTATGATTGGAATTTGGAAAGCAAGTAACACATGTAACATGGGGTGGCAATTGATAAATGTATAGGACATTTTATAATGTTGGGTACTTATGTCATATATAACTAGTACTTGTATCCGTGCAATGCACGACCTTTAATTTAAATAATCATAAAATAGTTCTATATTATTTAATATTAAGTTGTTTATTTAGTTAATTTATTAATTATTAATAATGGATATTTATATATCCGTCTGAATTTTCTACCCGTCTAAGCGATTTCTTAATTTAGAACTTTAGTTTATAGTATTAAGTTTGAGACTCGAAAGATGTGTCAATTATTAATTGGATACGTGAAAGATTAAATATACAATTTAGGACTCTAATAATTTAAAATTATAGATGAAATCTCTAAAAGGTAAAATATATTTTTTATTTTTTATTTAAATTTGGATATTTTATTTATAGCTTTTATATGTTTTTATAACTGATATGACATACGAAATTTTGCACATATTTTTCATATCGTTTTAAGTTTTAATTAATGGATTGATTTTTTTATTTATATTTTTTACAATTCTAATCAAAATCATAAATTAATAGTTTAAAATATTTCGATCACTGAGTTGATTAATTTAACCTTCCAAGAACATAATTGATAGTTTCTTATCTGTCTGATCTCAAATGGATACTCATGTTCAATACTCGGACTCATAAGCTCCATTAATGTTTTACGATTATTATAATATAAAATATACATGTTATAAAGATTTTATTTTTATTATCGAGTTAATTATTTGTATAGTGATTGGAGTCTGAAAATGTGACCTCCTGCTTATAATTTGTCATTTTAGACTCATCTAATTTGATATTTTAGATTGTTGTAAACAACCACGTTTATATTATTAATAAAAAAAAAACACACACACACACATATATATATATATCATATATTGTGCAGTGCATAATTACAAAAATCTCAAACTAAATATTTTTTTATTATCTGCACAAAAATAAATATTATTATGGAAAAAATAATCAGTTTTATTCTTGACATTTACTAATTGACATATAAAGAATAATTAGTCTTTTTTCTAAAAATAAATTAAGATTATTGAAATAAATTAGTTTTTTATTTTTTAAGAAAATAATAAAAAGAAAACTATTTAAAAAGAAAATAATTTTCTCTTTCAGCAATTCAGATTTTTTGCTGGATTATATATAAAAATATAGATTTAATTTGTTTTAATAGTTTATTACTTTAAGTAAATAATTCATTCTTACCATTTTTTTTC